ATATATATATATATAATATATAATATATGTAATATTTTCTTCTATATATGATTTGATTATATATTCTTTTATATATATAACAAATGATAGTTTTATAGCTAAAAATATTATATCTTATACATATATCATTATTTATAAATATATTAACTATTTTTGCTTTAAAAAATTATTTTCAAATATAGATTTATAAATTTGAATATTCAATTTTCTATTATTTATTTCTCATAATATTTTTTTCTGTTAATAAAAACATATAAAATAACTTTTAACTTTTTAAGTAGAGATAACATCAAGATTTATTTGATTAGATTCATTGAACTAAATGGTCTTTATTAAAAGATATTGGAGCAGTGTATCTCAAGTATACATTACAACTGAAACTGAAGGAAATGTACACTTAACATTTGAGTTGCTCATGTTACTTGTGTACATTTTATACACATGTAATATATTCATTCATATGAAATAAAAATGTTATTTTTAATCTCTGTTATTCACAGCTGATACTGGTCATATACTGTTCACACTTCCATATAAGAAAATTAATTGGAAATCAGGTTGGAGACAATGAAAAAATTGCATATTTTATTGCGATTTATGTTTATTAATATTTTATATGCAGACTATTATATAAAATATAATAACAAATGGATATTTGCCGGTCAAACGTGAAAAAAACTTTTATGGAATTTTTTTATTTACCTAATTTTATTATAATTTTATTTGATTCATTGATATATTTTGTTAATAATGTAGAAAAATATATTTTTAAAAATATAGATAATATATAATACATGATAAAAAATAATTCAATTAAATATAAAAAAATTCTTTCATTCTTATATTGACCGGTAAATATATATTCTATTGCTTCATGCAATGAAGTAGTTACCATAACAACATTGGCTTAACACAATGTTTTTGTTAGTTTTTGCATTAATCCAATATTAAAACACTTATGATACATTTTAATCTTTATTTTATTTTAATCAACAATGAAAGTCACAATTTTCAATCATTTCAATTCATTCTTTTTACTTTTTTCTTAAATTTATAAATTATTTAAAAAGAAAAATTCTCATATTTATTTATCTCATTGAATATTAGATAATATATGTATGTCTTACTTTTGGAGTGTATTATATAATATAAATGCATGATTATGAATGCAATAATATTTTTATTTTGTTTAATTCAAACTTTTAATATAGTGTAAAATAAATTAGAAAAAAATTAAATGATAAAAGAAAACTAAATATTTGAAAATAATATAAATTATTAAATTTAAAGTATTATTTATAGGAAAATATAATTTAAATTATATTTCACAAAATTTATTTTAATATATATATATATTAATTTAATTGTATGACATTTTATAATTTCTATTTTGTTATTTAGTTTAACACTGACATATCCATAAAAAGCATTCACCTTGTATTCATGATCACTTATTGCCATATAAAATTTTTAGACTTAATTTCTATGTCAGCAATTCTATAAAAGGTGTTAGTAGTATAAATTATATTCTTATTTTAAGTTTCAAGTAACTTTTCACCATATACATGTAATATGTTAGACACATGTTTAGCATACATAAATACACAGACTGTAGTTTATTTTATTTATTAAATATTCTAAAAAATAATTACACACAATTTATTTTTCAATAAAAATTTATATTTATATATATTTTCCAGAATCATATAATATATTTAAAAGATTAAATAATATTTAATTTATCTGTTTAATAGTATCAACAGATGAAACAGTTATTGGTCAAGTGGTTGAACTGACATTAGAAAAAGTACTTGAACTTATTGAATCTGCTTATCCAAATCCAATAACAGTAATTGACATAGCAAAGTAAGATTTTTATTATAAAAAATTGATTAATTATTTTTACATTAAAGAATCAATATTTCAGTATATATGTAATTATTATAGAGAACATGGTTGGGATCCTTCTGCTGTTGAAATAAAATTAAAAGAATTGCAAGAGAAAGGTGTAGTTAAAGCAATGGAACATGGAGCTTTTACCAGAGTTGTACATCAAGACACACAAGTTCAAGTAAATTTTATTCGAATATTTTTATTGCTTTGTGATAAATAGATATATATCAATTAATGATCTATTTTAAATTATTTGTAATAATTATGGGATATTAAACATAAAAAATTATTGTTATCTTTTAGGTTGTAAAACAAATGCCAACAATGGCAAATGCAAAACAACCTACTATAGCAATTATTACTGCACAATATTGTGAAAAGTTGGCAGTTGATTCAATGATTGAAAACAAAGAAACATTTGTCCGTTATACTACTGTTGGTAAGATTTTATTTTATTTATGATATAATTATTCTTTATATTGCTTTTATCAATTAATTTTCATAAATTATATAATAAAAGGAATATAAAATGTATATCAGGTATGTTAATTTGTTATAAATATTATGTTTTCTATCTTACAAATGAACAAATAAATTTTCATATTAAAATAGATTCTATAATTAAATTTTTGTACGTTTCTTGAAATTCTTTTTTTTTTGAAATTAATATACATTAAACTTAATTTTTATTTAATTTTGAATTTTGAATTTATTTTTTATTCAATTTAAATAATATGAATATTTACTTCAAATATAAACTTCAAATATAATTGTGCAATTTTAAATTTTATTATTTTGTATTCATATTGAATTCAAACAAAAAACTGTTTATATAATTTTATATAATTGTTTATATAATTATACATAAAATGACGGTAAAAGTACAAAACATATTGTGTATATATATTTTACTACGCATGAAACTTTAGGTACAGCAAGCTCACCTGATGCAACAGATGGAGTACCGCGAGTGACATGTCGTTTTGGTAAAGTAGTTTGTAATATAGTTTCTCTTTTCTTTCAATGTCGTTTAACGTTATAGCTTGCCAATTGCTTGCCAATTCAAGAAACGTCGCAGAGCCACTGTGCTGTGAAAAATGTATACTAATAGACTTTTTTATTAAAATATTATTTTATCCATGGCAGAAACAATATATTTTTATGTTGTAATGGAATTCATTCAAAATGTAATCTTATGTATTATGTCTTTATCTTTAAATATTTATTCTTTCAGCAATATTAGCAAATTAAGTTAAATTTATCATACACATTAAATGGGCATGGTTTAACATTATCACAAATTATATCCTTTATTCATATATCTGTTTGTGTTGTTTTTTGTTTGTGTGAAAGATATATTGTTTTTATTCTTTCTTTCTTATTTAAGATTGATAATAATTTGTTATAATTGTTATTTTTATTTTTTAAATAAATAATTTATATTATATTAATTAATATTTAATATTTTAATATTTTAAGAATGAAATTTTTAATTATTTTTTTATTTATTATTTTATTATTTATTACTATTATGTATAATATAATTGACTCAATTTAATATTGAATATTATGTTAATACAATATTATGTATTCTTAAATATTATTATATACTTATACATACACACATATTGATTAATTAAGTATTAAAACTTATAAATTAAATAAATATTGAAAGAAATATTAAATTATTTACGAAATATTAATACATTTCAATAATCATTACTTTTTATTAAAAAAAAAAATGTGTATAAATGAAATTAATGAAAATGATAATTTTATATAATTGCATCTGTTGGAATGAATTATTTTTAATTAATCTAGGCACATAGAACACACAAATTCAGTGCCAATCTTTTAATAGTAGCACAAAGCACATGTATTATACACAAATTTCAAAATTAATAATAGAAGATTCATTTGATATAAGATAAGATTATTTTTGTTATAGGTGAATCAAATGTTTACACATTAGGCAATATTGGTGCACATAGAATTGTATGCACAAAACTACCAACTGTAGGTCATACAAGAGAAGCAATGACTGCAGCAGGAAATACAACTACCAGATTATTAGGTAGTATTTAAGTTTTTTGATTTATTTTTAATTGATAAATGAATCTTATAATTGCTTATCCAAATATTTTATATTTTTCTTAGGTACGTTTCAAAAGGTTGATTTTGTTTTCTTAATTGGAATTGGAGGAGGTGTACCACATTATACAGATTATAATAAACATGTACGGCTTGGTGATGTGGTTATATCTTATCCTACTCCTCTAAATAATAAATATATCTATGTTTATTGTGAAAGTGCAAAGACAAATGAAAATGGTGATTATCATTTTGAAACCAAAGAATATTGTCCATCAAATTTATGCCTTCAAGAAATTGCTGCTAATCTTAAACACCAGGTAAGTTGTTACATTTTTGAATTAAAATAAAGATTAGAGTAAAGATTTGGAATAATTATTATCTTGACAATTCTAGTCAGAAAATGAGTCAAATCCTCCTTGGCAAACATATCTGAAAGAAGGTTTAGATATTTTGACTAATCAAACAGAGCATGATTTTAAATCACCTCCACCAGAATCTGATAAATTGTATATGGCTATTGGTGAAAGAGATGTTATTGAAGTTGCACATCCTACTGCACCTTCAGATGCGATATATAAAAGGTTATTATTATTATTAAATAAATTTTTTTTTATAAACTTATTCGTCAGTTATCGATAAATATAGTTTATATAGATAAGTTACATAATTTGTTTATATTTTATTATTATGTTTCTAATATTATTGATCAGATAATTTTAAAGATTTGATGAATTTTTAATAACTTTTTTCATATTTATCGTATATTTATCGTTATAAAAATAATTCGATGTTTCAGAATAAATGGTTGTCCACGAATTCATTTAGCACCTGTAGCATCTGGTAGATACATTGCACGTGATGATCAACTGAGACAAAAATTTGCAGCTCGTTTTGGATCTCTTGCATTTGATACAGAAATGGATGCTGTGGTTGAAAGTATTTTGGGTAATTGTCGTGAAAGTTTTGCCGTTATTCGAGGTATTTCTGATTATAAAGATGGTTCCCGCATAAAAGAATGGCAACCTTACGCGTCTTTAGCTGCTGCTAGTGTAATGAAATCTATCATTTGTGCTATGGATCCACCTACTAATGTGTAATATTATTTCTAATGTTCGTTTTATTTCATTTGACATAGTATTTTAGCAATATTTAGTAAAAATATTTCACCTTATTTTTTAAATATAAGATGGACCAACTATATTCATTGATTAGAACAATCGTAGTTTCAATTGGCGTACTCAATATAATGTGTATACGCACAAGTTGCATAATTCATGATTATTTAACAAATAATAACTTTTTTTGTTTTTATATTTCGAATTGCATTTAATGTGATACAGATCATATATTTTACAATCAAAAAAAAAAATAACATCGTGATCAAAACATATATATGATCGTAATCAAATACGTAGAAATCAGAAAGTAAAATGCACCAATGCATTTATTAATAATTAATTAAGGGAATAGTTAGTATGATACAAATGACTTTTTTTAGTAATAGGTATCAAAAATAATTCCAAATAATTTCTCCGAATTGCTCAGAAATAAATCTGGCTAGTAGAAATATAATCCATTTTTAAAATTTATTTTAACATGAATATTTGAAGAATTTACAATTTCTATTTCTAAATGTTTTTCGATATTATTTGATAATCTAATATTTACACATCGATTTGCTACACTTAGTTCATTTCCTAATTTTAGAAATATTTTAGAATATCAATTTGATATGGTTTTACGAAATAATAATGATATAATGATATATGATTTTATAGAATTATTCATATATTTTGTACTTTTTATCTCATCTATTGTCATTTTATTATTTAAGTACAATATCAAGAAATTAATATATTAAACGAAAGCGGTTCAGTGATTTTAAGACTGGTGCCATTTTCGTTCTTTTGAACACATATAAAACTTTTTTATTAAATCTTAACATAATAAAAAAGTTTTGTATGATTAAAAAATCATACGTTTGCAATAGTTGTGTAATTTAAAAATAATTATAATAATGAGGCTCTTGAATATTAAATATTAGCGGACAGGATCCGAAATAAAGTAGATACAAGAATTACACAAAGCTTTAAATAAAGCCTCGATATACGTAGACCAGCAAAATAATTTAGATTTAGAATACGATACCTGAAATTAAAGTACGTTTGGCAGTATTTATTTAAATACGATCAAATTATCGTTAAAAAAAATTATCCTAATAAATATTACATGTTTGCCAGAATATATCACCGTTTCAAACAAATCTGTCCATTTTATCTATGGGGCGTGTAATAAATATATTCACAATTTTCGAATTCAATGAAAGAAATATAAATAAGTAATTACGTCCAAAAGTTTAATCGCATTTAAAAGTATATATAATAACTATATATATAAAAATTTAATCAAAGTAAAAATCATTTTAATAATAGCTTTAACACAATTAATTTTTTTCAATCTAATTTGTTAAAATTTTTTTATAATTGTTTAAACTTTATAGCTTATTTTATAGCTTATTTCTTTTTTAATATATTTAAATTAATATCTTCATGTGATTTAATATATTTTATGTATATTCATTTATCATATATATAATTTTTATATATTTTCAAATAATATTTTCAAATAATTCGCTACAGATGGTTGTGAATATACATTGTTCCTATTTCACTTTGCAAATTTAACTTCATTCCTTTTTTTGGTAGTTTTGTTAGTGTGGCCTGAAAGAATCTTATTGTCCATAAAGATAAATCGGTTCATGTTCCAATAAGAAAAAACTAATATGTTATGTATGTATCTTCTCATCACATATATCTTTTTTATATTATAATTTACTGGATAAATTAAATCTATATTCATATTTTTCAAATATATTTCAAAGATAGATAATATAGTTTAGAACAATATCGTTTCAAAGTTATAATATAGCTTAAGTAGCTATTTAATAGCTATAATATACCTGTTATAGCTATTGAAACAATTATATTTATATTAAATTGTTATTTAAATTGTTTAAAATGAATTTTTATTATTTATTGATTAAATATCTCTTTAACATTGTATAAAAATAAAATATTTTGAACTTGATAGTTTCAATTTTTAGTCTAATTTCAGTAAGTGCTATTAAACATTTGGACGATGATGTATACACCAAATATATTTAAATTGTACAAGTAATTAACATTAGTTAAAGTGCCAATGTGTTCAATATATTTGGCTAGTGCAGAAATAAGAGAAATTTTTCTGAAAGATAAACGAATGGATAATATATTTTTCTTTTAAATCAAGGAATTTAATTTTATCATTACTCTTCAAAAATTTAATTTATTGAATACTATATCGTTTAGGGAAAAATCTGAATCTTTTCTTTTGAGAATGTTTTATTCGTTTTTCTTTTAGATTAATATTCTCTTTATTTGCACGACAGACCAACATCATTGAATTCTACTGCCTCTTTGAAAATTCTGTGAAATAAGCGTGAATATTTGAAAATCGTTTTTAAAAAAAAAAAATTGATAATATATGTAAGCTTTGTTAACAACATCAAATGTAACTTCTTCGCATTTCAATATCTTTATAGATTCTAAAGCACAGGGTAGCATAATGAGAATTTTATATTTAAATGACATTTTACTTGAGCATAAATCTAAAGAATGGAATATGTAGTACTAGATTACACTTAAGTACATACACATGTATCGTTGATAACGACAAAATCTTCAATTCTTAGCATTAGGCACATAGTCATTGATCAAACGTCTCTATTTATTTATTTATTCATTACAAATTAAGCAATCTAATTATTCAAGACGTGATCATCGTTTTACAAAATATTACAATATCTGTATATTTTACTTTTAAAAATCTTATTTTATATTATGTTTCAAACATAAAGATCATACGATATCGTGCAAAAAATAGAAGAAAAAAAAAAAAAATAAAATAAAATAAAAGACGAGTAGAAAAAAAAATCATTAATAATAATATAGAACCTCAGATCAATTTAATCAATGAAAAGAATCACTTGTTGCGTAGAAGCACATTTTTAAAAAAAAGTTCTATGAAATATAAAGAGTAACTATCATAAATAAATGAATATATATATATACACACATATTATTATAAATATATGCAAATACGTATAGATATACAATTATTTAAAATATTTAATATATATATATATACAAATCGTAAATTATATCACGTGGTGAAACTTTAAATTCGATTTACCTGACGATAACAGATTCCTAAGGCCTAAATAATTATGTACGAAACGAACGAAAAACTTTGTTAAAAACTTTGTTTAAGCGGGGCTTTCAAGCTTCGAGCTTCCAAACTATTGTATGTATTTACATATATTTAAGTTAGTATTACGCGCTTTCAACGCTAGTCGCACTATTGTGTTTTTTCCGTCTATTTATAATATAAACTTTAAGTGGCAAATTATTGTATACGCATACATATATAGCATATAATCACTTCGTCCACTTAATTTATATTTAACCTTCGAAGCACGGTTTTGATAAGATGAATCAAAAAAAGATTGGATCAACGATGATCCGATCAATCGATTAATTATTCAATTTCTCGTAATGTAATTAACTTTATTGTCAATTAAATCGAAACTGAAAATCAAAAGTGACTTATCTATCGGACTACGAGGGTTAAACAACAAATTTATTATGTATATTAGTATCCATAATGAACATACAATCGCAATGGATTTCGATTTTTATTCGTTCAAACGAATGATTTTTATGCATATTAGCATCTCGTCTCGACGTTATAAGAAGTATTTTTTTTTCTCGTTAATTTCAAACCCGTTCCAAAGAAAAATTCCAATTTAACTTTTTGGAATCTTAAATGGGTTATCATGTAAATTTTATAATATTTTTTGTGCAATTTTTTTTTTTCTTACTTTAAACTTTCTTTTTAAACCTTCTTTCGTTTAAATTGTTATATCGATCTTGATATATAGTGTTAAATATTTTGGGTACACATAGAATGCTTAAAATTTGATAAAAATTCAACGAGGATTCTAATAACAACCCTTAATAGTTAACTGTTAAGGGTTGAAAATATTGGGAATACTTGAATTCTATTACATAGCGAGAAAAGTTTAAAGAAATGAAAAAGAAAAAAAAAAAAAAAAGAAAGAAATTATGCTTCAAACTTGTATTTTAAATAGTCTTCCGATCGTCAAAATTAATCATCAATGTTTTTAATTAAGATCTTGATATTTCAATTTAAGTTTATTGCTTGTGTGAACAACAAAATATATTGTCAACAAAATGGGTGCTACCAAAATATTTTCGTGATAAGATTTTTCCCAATATTAACCTATTTTTATCGAAAAATAAAATTTTATGTATAATCAACATCAAACTGCGAGCAAATATAATAAAATGGCTTATTAAAGCTTAATTGTAAATCAGTTTAGATAAAATATTTAACTATTACTTGGATTACAAGTAATGAAATTTTATAATTTCAAGATAAAATCGATTCTTTCTCTATGTTTCCGATTATTGGAAAATATTCTGGTTTCTCCCATAATGAATAACGCAGTTTCGTTTAGAATTGTAATATCTACAGGGGAAAAGAAAGCAAAGTGTTGTGTCTAATTATAAGTTACTTCACCGCGGAAAAGAAACTGTGATAATATCTGGGCTTTTCTGCGTGAAGTAAAAGAAGTAAAAGAGAGATAGCCATAATATAAAATAAATCAGTTCTGTAGAATTTGATTCTGTTACGAGATAGATCGTTAAGGAATTAATAATAAAACTTAAAGAGAAAGAGAGGGAAATATCGCTGAAATCTTATTAGAAAGAAATTGAATATATAAGTAGTAAAAAGCAAAGTCTGGAAGCAAAGAACCATTTAATGTCATTGTAATATTTTCGTTTATTAAGAGATATTTTGCGTTTATTTAATATAAATTATCTTTTTTCTCTCAAAAACGACAATTTTACAAGAATAAATACACACACATATATATATATATAACGTGTTTATCAAATTATATATATATTTCACTTTTAGTTTTATTAATGATATTCTTTATGAGATTTTTTTGTATTTTTTTTATCTTTTTTCTATTTGATATGATTTAGAAGAAAATTTTTACTCAATATTTTATTATTATATTTATATATAATAATATATTTATATATAATAATAAAATAATTGAGAAAAATATATTAAAGATGATAAATCAAATTTTTTAAAAAAAATTTATATAAATATTTGATAAACACGTTATATAAATTTGTATTCCTTTGCAATACAATGCTGGAAAAATTATGTATGTAATTGTTTGAAATTAGATGAATACTTTTGTTTAGATGAATGAAAAATTCTTGTTGTATAAGTTTCATGTAAGAAGTCTGTGGTATTTCATTGTCGTAAAATCGTTTCAATAAATAGAGGTCCATTGTTCCTATGTTTATTACCATATCTCATGTCCAATTAATATTGGTTTATAATTATCGCAATTCAATTAGAATTGATTTCAATATTTTTGATTCAATATTTTGATAAATAACTTGGAAAATAACTCGTTTGAATTTGCAACGACTAATTGTTTTATTATACTATAGATAATAATAAATTGTTTATTCTCAATTATTTACAACATAGAATCGAATTAGAATAGAATGATAATATGAACGAATAATAATTTATATTTATGACTAATGATATATTTTATATATTAATAATTATTGCTTTTGCATTTATTACAATAAATCCATGATCAAGTAGTTTAGATAATTTATCATGGAATTTTAATATTTAAAGCACTTAGAATCAAATTAATTTCATTTAATTGAATAATTGAGAATTTTAGAAAAATTTGATTCTAAGTGTTCATTTTAATTATCTATTTTTATCAAAATACAATTTCTCCTATTTTTTATTTTTTTTTTATCTACATTTAATTAGATATATAGAACAAATAATAAATGTAATAATTTTACGAATTTTGTCATTTAATTAAATTATTTTATATCGTATTATTCAACAATTATATTTTATATTATCAATCGCTATTTATCTTTTTTTCTTTGTTCTTACATATTTTAGTCTAATTTTTATATTAAAGATCTCGATTTATGTGCAATATACATGTATAATTTTTATGTTAACAATAAAATATTAATCTTTCGAAATAATATATTTTTATACTTGATTTCTAATACTTGATTGTCCACTAAAGTACACATAAATAATTATATTGTTTCATATTTAATGCCGACATAAATTTATCTAAATAAAATATATAATTTTATATAAATAATATAATTCATCTAAGTAAAATATTATATATTTTCTTATATATATTTAATGAAATTATAATTTCATTATGATATTTCAAATTGAAGAAAAACAATATAATTTATTACTTCATAGATTATTTTATTTTTGAAACTTTTAAAAATTGAGAAATATGAAGTTTTTAAACAATATATTTTCTTTTTACCTTCAGATCTTTCTTCTGATAAAAATTCTTTCAACCAACTGTAAAATCGAGGTAAACGTTATTAATCAAATATATTTTATTCTGTTTTATTCGTTTTTTTTTTTCTTTCGTTTATGTATATTTCTATTTTTCATTATTTATCTCTAACTTTTTCATCTTTCAAGATATTTTCATCTTCATATTTTATAATCGGCATTGCTATCAATTTCTGCATTTCATGATCGTTCTTATTAGTTGACTTACCATATTTATTCCATGGCTGCTCTTCTGCCGTTCCAAACAGTAAAAATACAATGGTTCCAAGCACAGAAGCACCACCACTTATAAGAAAAACTTTTTGCCATTGCAATACGGTTTGCTGGGAAAATATATGTATAAATTAATATAAATTATCTTTTGAATAAATTTTATTTCTAGC